ACGGTTGACGACGAGGAAATTTTAAAATTATTGAAACTTATAGAAAAAGAAAAAAGTCTATTTATCCCTTTTAGATCTTTTGAAACTATTGAATATCCTGAACTCGGAACCACTAAAAAAGTTGTATGGAATTTGAAAACTGCTTCAAAATTAGAAAAACCACGATTTATCAAAATTGGATTACAAAAAGGACGTAAGGATTTGCTAACAAACGATTGTAGTATATTTGACCATTGTAATTTAACAAACGTTAAAGTATTTCTGAACTCTATAGCTTATCCATACGATAATTTGAATTTAGATTTTACTAAAAATAATTTCACCTTATTATATAATATGTATACATCGTTTCAAGAATCGTTCTATGAAAAAAGTATTCGTAACCCGATATTGAGTCCTACTTTTCTGACAAACGCTCCAATTATACTATTATAGTTATCGATACTTCGAAACAGAACGATTCAGCCACAGCCTCAGCAGTAGATGTTCAATTGGAAATTGAAGCTTCAGATTCGCTTACAGGTGTAACTGCTTATTGTTTATTAATTCATGATCGTATTGTAGAATATGTACCTTTTACTAGAGAAGTAAGAAAACTTGTATAAATAATTGTTTAGAATTAATATATAATTGTATTTGTAAATAAAATAATATTTAATAAATAATATATATTTTATCAAATTGTTGTGTTACACGGTGAAGCATGTAGAAATGCCCCGCTTTAAATGATGAAATCTCCCTGTAAAAAAGGTGCTCAAAACGCACATTAGGGTTTTTGAGATTATGTGTTACACGGTGGAGCATGTAGAAATGCCCCCCTGAAATGATGAAATCTCCCTGTAAAAAAGGTGCTCAGAACACACAAATATATACTACTAATGTCTAAATTTTATATTTCTGCTTCAAAGGTAACGTGTATAAAATCTTTGATACTATTCATTGAACTTATAATCACACATTCGCAAGTGAATTTGTGATATACATGATGATTGATGGGTAACTACTTATATGTTGTATTGTTATGTTACATAGTTACGTTTAGATTGTAGAATGTAGATAATATAACTTATAAGTACTAAGTACCTGCCTAGTTAATTTCGTTATTTGATTGATGATGCTTATGATTTACCTTTTGAAATATAATCGATCCAATCCTTTGAATCATTTGTTTCAATTTGATTCGAAAGCTCTGGATATTTATTTTTATACTTATGGGCTATTGATCCATCTATATATTGTAAATTTTCAATTTCCCAAGGACTATCTGGGTACACATCTTTCATCTATAAATCAAGAAACATACAGGTAATGTAAATTAATTTGAATTTTTTTAAGTTGATAATAAAAGTAATTTAAAACTTAGTTTTAAACCAGTTCATTGCATACCTAATTTTAATATAACTCACCTCTAAATCAAATGCATTTAATAGATCTGTGTCTTTATTGTTGGCATTTAAATTAATATTAATGATCTGGTTATTACTACGCAAAGTAATTGTACTTGGCTCAATTTTATTTTCAGGAGTAAATATTGCAGCTTCATTGAAAACATCACCTACAAATACTGACAGATGATTTGACTCTTCAGTCATGTCACATGCATTTAATAAACATTCTGCTTCTCTGCTTTCTTCTGTATTTTGATTTGAAGTTAAAACAACAGCAGAATGTTTTCCCAATATGTATGATCGAAGTCTAAATTATTGAAGTACAGAATTTATTAAAAATTTCAATTGTTGATATAGATGCATTGGTACCTGTACTTGAAGTCTAGTGGATTAGGATGAGTATTAAAACCACCCATTCAACTCACAAAACTAAAAAAATTCTCAAGAATATCTTGATTCAACCGCTGAGTTATTACATATGTAGGCCCATAGTAAGACTTTAAATCAACTAACAAGTTTCTTAAAGACCTATTTGTTAACAGAATTCCCTTTTGAAATGGCAACAAGGATTTTTTTGAGAGCACCAACATTGTTTGTATGAAATTATCCATTTCATCAAGAAGTTTATTCTTCTAAACCATATGCATTTGAGTTATCCCCAAATGGTTGTTAGGAATTGAATAGATCAAACCAATTGTTCACCAAAAGAATGATATCTGCGCACTTAAGTATGTAATATTTTGATTAATAAATAATTGTCAGTTTATATATTGCAAATAAATAAATATTTATTTACTTTTTTCCAGTTCGATGGTAAGAGAGCATTTTTATCACCATAATATTGAATAGCTTTAGCCACTGTACGTGAGAAAAGATGAGTAGCTAATCTTACTTTCTGGCGTTGATGTCCTTTAGCGTGTAAGTGTAATTCAGTCAATTTGAAAGTACGCTTTAAATCACCACTATGGGACAATCTCATTAAACTTTACAGATTTACCAATATATTGTGCTAAAACATTTACACGCAATAATTATACTGTTTGAAAATAAAAATACACTAATTTTGTATTAATTTACTTTTGTCTAGAAGGAAGCCATGGTCAATAAAATGGTTACGTAGGAGTTTAATCAAGTGGGGAACGTCTGCAAATACATGTACAGCACAACCAGTTATTGGGTGGGACAATGAAGAATTCTCATGAGTTATTGCAATTGATTTCCACAAACTTACATTGCCTGTACCCATATCAATAGTAACTGAACCACATCGTAATCACTGTAATGAAGTTTACTTATTATTTCTTCTAAAATTGATTTTGTCATAGGTGTATCATAAGCATAGAAGATTGACTGTTTCCATTTTGCTATTGAGCCCCTAGCCATGATAACCTGAACGGTTTTGTGTGGGCCAATAACTTTTTCATGTACTTTGTCAAAACAAATATCATGTGCAATGTATACTTCATCAAATGATAAAGCGGTAATCTTATCTTTTTCATCCATTGAAGCACCTGAGGAAAAAATTGTATAGTCCTCAATATTTTATTAATTTAATTCTTAATAGTTAGCCTTTTTTTTCCATTATTTCCATCACACCATCTAAAATACCAGGTTCAATAGGAAAATTTTATGCCCATTTTCTCAATGTTGACAATCCTAAACATTCAATGTAATTTTTTATAATTTATATTTTCTATTAAATCGCTATTCAATTGTTATTTTAATATATTCTTATAGTTGAGCTAACATGTTTAATAAAGGCATATTAAAATTTAAAAACATAAACATAATAAATACTTTAAATTATAAACCTGGTAATGCATATTCCTTATATCCCTTGTGTATCCCTCAAATATAACTTCAAAAACAACTGCATACTTCTCATTAAGAAATTTATTCAAACAATTAGCTTCCTGAAGTTTCAATTTTGTCTCATGTAACTCTTCATTAATTCTAAATAAAAAATTTAATTTGATAAATATTAATATGCTAATATTTAACAATAGCGTTGTTTTTGTTTAGTCATTTTTAAAATATTTCTGTTACAAATTAATTATACAATGAAGGCAAATTGAACATGTACCTATCCAAATTAGAATCCAAACCATAGATAGAACTAATAGATTCATCGATATCATTAAAGAGACATCTAGATATATTATGTTTTCTATTATTTATAACATTTTCTACAGCCTAAAACAAAATTGTATGTTTATAAATAAATAAGTATACCTAACTATGTTTCTCCATATGAAAATTGTACTTACATAAAATTGCTCTGGACTATCATCATGGCTTGTACTTGTGTAATTTCTTGTAGTCATAGTCGAGGTACTCATACCGTCCAAACTTAAATTTAAATACTCATCATTTTGAACCTTACATTTTTTTCTATGTTCTACAGGTGAAATCTTAAGTATTTTGGAATTTCATATTATTATAATACAATAAATGAAAAACTGAACATTCTAAGTTTAATAAATACAATTATCTTCATAGTTACATCAGGTATATATTTTGATGGAATTGCATCTAATTTTAGTTTCCTCTTTTGTCTTGGTGAATAGTTCATAAAGGTTTTTTGTATATCTTTTGGATAGAAATGTATTGAAAATACTCTAGCTATATTTATTAATTTTTTTGTTTTTACAATAATCAATAATAATAATTTGCATTGTTATATAATATATTTATATTATTTCATTTATTGAATTTAGTTTATTAATTATGACTATATAATATTAATGTTTGCTTAAAATGTATCTTATATAAGTAGGTATTTATTAAATTAATATATTTATGTTTGTTTAAAATGTTTATCTTGTTTAATAAATAAATGAACAATTTGATGTATTTATAATTGATTGTTGTATTTTTATATGTACTATACTAAACTTGTAAATAGTTATCAATGACTGGTAACATTATGTATTCAAAATATATTTTTTTATTAGAATTAACATAATACTTGTGTCTACGAGTAATGGGTATACACAATAATACAATTATAATTGTAAAATAACTACACTATTTCAATTAAACATTATGATGGGATATCCTTAAAATATGTGTAGTGTATTTTACATAGGTATTGGATTTTGGTGTTTATCAAATGTGGTGGGTATTAATCAAACTGTACATTTAATTTACTTGGTACAAATGAAAAACAAAAACAAGTGTAAAAATTAATTATTTTAATAGTATTTGAAATTTGAAAGTAATGTACATGAACACCGTTTGATTGCATGACGTCCAATATATTAACTATAACGCAGTACCGTATTTGCACAATTTGCGCCCCGGGGCAATATATTTTCGCCGCCCCCCCCCAAAAATGCTATTTCTTAAAATTTGAGGTGTAACTATTTTCTTGTATACAATTTTGGGCCACAAAAAATTAAACCAACAACATAAACATAATAATATGCTACTCTCACTAATATAGACCTCTCTCTTTATAGACACATTTTAATATTTTACTAATATAGCGTTAATTGGGAAAAAAATAAAATTATTATGCTAAAATATACAAATATTAACACAGAATAATGAATATAATATAATATTCTATATGATTAACTATGAACTTTATTATATTAATATTAGTAACAATTACATTTTTCTACGAGCTTTTAACTCACTAAACTTATTTATAATATCATCATAATTTATATTAACTGTTAATTCTGACTCTATATTTAGTATTGGTAGATCATTCAGACGATCTTCTTTGGTACTAGATCTTAAGTAAGTTTTAATCCTCTTCAAAGCACTAAAACTTCTCTCTGCTGAGCAGTTTGAAGCTGGACAACATAAAACATTCTTAAAGCAATGCTAATATATGGAAAGACATCTTGTAAATCACTTTCTATTATTTTCTGCAACATTCCTAAAATGGTTTTAGGAGCATTGTCTTTTGGTAAAGTTAGTAGGTAGCTCTGAAAATGAATACATTAATTTGAGAATGATACAGGAAGATCTGAAGAGTAATATTTTTGTAAAACTGCTGATTGATGTCTAACTTCACATGAACTAATTTCAGTAATACAAAATAAGAATTTAAATTTTTCGTTAATGTCTTCGTAATCTATCTTTCTTTTATTTAATTCAGAAATTAAAGAATCCATTATTGGAATATATGTTTGACTTTTAAAGACATCTTTTGAATTTAGTTGCGATTCATTTTCATGTGATTCATTATAGGGTATTTTTCGTTTCTTCTTTCTATTAATCTGAGTTTTATACTCTTTAATTTCAGATATCTCAATACTTTTTTTTTTCATATAGATCATAATTATTTCTTATATCATTTATATAATGTATCAAGGAATAATATAATTTTAATATTCTTAAATCGATTGATACCTCCTGTAGTTTCTTACTAGTATAATTAAATCATTCCAAGACATCACTCCAAACTGTAACCATAATACTCATTTCCAAACTTCTTAACTGAACTAATAAGCCTCTTGCTTCACATTTTGTTTGTGGCTTTTCCAATGGATTTTTTTCAATTTCATTTAATACCTTTAAAACTTGTGACCAATTTTTGGATAAACTTGAACATGCATCGTGACGTGCAGACCAGCGAGTGTCAGATAATCTTTTTATAGATATATTTCCTGTTAGACATTCTGTTAACACTTGCCATCGGTTGGTCTATGCAGAAAAGAATGTAAAGATATTTTGAATGAGATTAAAAAAATTATTTGCTGTTAAACGACAACTTGCAGCACACTCACCTACTAAATTTAAGAAATGCGTAGAACATGGTACATATACTGCATAAGAACAAGCGTTTTTTATTCTAGCTTGAAGACCTGTATATTTTCCTGACATATTTGAGGCATTGTCATAGCCTTGCCCACGACAGTTTTTAATATCTATATTGTTTGTAATAAGAACATGAAATACAGAATTTGCTAAATCTTCAGCTTTGTGGCCTGTATTAGGAAGAAATTGTAAAAATCTTTCAACGGGGTTAACACTGTTTAGAATATAACGAAATACAAAAGACAATTGATCGACATGTGAAATATCAGGGGTAGAATCTATGATAGTTGAAAAGTATTTTGCTGTTTTTATTTCTTCGATAATCTGATGTCGTACTTTATTGGCTATTAATATTATGAATTCTTCAAATATAGTTATTGATAAATATGAAGTACTTCCTTTACCTTTATTTGCATATTTTTTGATATGTTTAGCAAGGAAGGGATCAAATTCTGCAATTAGTTATATAATAAAATTACCACTATGTGTTGAGCCAAAATAATCATTACTTCCTCTCAGAGAAAGACCTCTAGAACATAATGATTTCACAACTGCTATCACTCTTACCAATGCATTTTTCCAATATTTTTCTTCAGATTTCATTTAATGTATAATTTGTTGATCAATCCTCTCAACATTTTGCATTCTTTGTTTCAAAGATAAAACACAACTTTTATGGCTCTTTGAATTTTCATGAAATATTATTTTTTCTTCAGTTTAACGCCAATTACAAAATCCCTTAGTAGCAAAACTTAATTTTCCTTTAAATAATAAGCATGGGACACAAAACAGATTTCCAGTACTGTCTGAATACATTAAATATTTTCTTTTTATAACTTCTCCATTTAAGAGTTTTGCATGTAGAACATTGGGCGATAAATATCTATAATAAGACTTCTTAACTCCTTTTACTACTCGTACATATAATTTTTTAGACTTCTGAAAATTTTTATTTTCAAAATTTTTATCATAACCATGTAAGCAAATATAGTCTATTGTAATATCATTAAAAATCCATAAGGCTGGATCATGGCTAAAAAAAAAAATAATAATAATAATAAATAATATATTATATTATAATTGAACAATTAGTTATTAATATTACCCTGGGAGAATATTATTTGATGAACAATTATTATCCTTATTTTCAATAAGCAGTGGAGGATCAATATCTTCTTTAATGAATGAACTACAATAACACAATAATATGGTTATGCTGACATTTTTTTAATATAATGTACAAATAAATACGTAAATAAGTATTACCTATAATAAATAAGTATTTAAAAAATTAATAATAACTTTAAACTTACTCAATGTTATCATATGTTGTACATGGGTTATTAATATGTTGCTAAATATTTATAATTGGTTGATTTGTTGTACTTGTATCAGAACCAGGATCAACAATGTTTGCACTGATATTATCAATATCATTATTTACTAAATAAAAATATAAAGTATATAATAAAACATATTGAAATTTATAATTTTAACCTATTAATGCTATAAAACAACCATGTATTATTATATAAATATAATATACCTAATATAATGATATTATTACCCAATAACATTAACCTAACCACATTACTATGTTATTAACAAATAACAGATAATCAAATATCTATCCAATATTTTTATTTTTAATAAAACTGTTAAAATTAAAATACCTATTTAAATATTTAATGAGTTCTTACAAGCCATAATTATCACTTATTATTACTTACAATTATTAACATGCTAATACATAATTTAATGTGTAAACAAAACAATAAAATATTAATTAGGTTAAACAGTCAAATTAACTAAGTAAAATAAAAATGTATATACTAGGTAGAGTATATATCTTATAATATTATACTTTGGAATACTTTAGTTAGTAGTTAGTACCCACAACAGTTGAATTAATATAAAGTTGTTAGTTTACTAATATGTTCATATTTTAAACTATACATTTTAAATTCATACTTGGCAACTTGTTTACAATCCTTAAACCAAAAAAAGTGTCCAATTTTGGAACTTTACATAAGACTTCTGCTGTTTTTATAGCCTTTTCTTTTGCTAATCTTTTGTAAGCAGCACCACTTCGTCGGTTTCGAAAAGCCTATGAGGTACACCGTACACAAGAAATACAATTAAATAAATAATGAACTAAATAATTTCATTTACCAACAATAAATTATTGTTTAAGATTAAAAGTCCAAACTTTATACAACTATCATAATAATATAATATTCATAAGTTTATAAATAATAACTGAAAAAAAGGTGGGTAAGTGGAAGTCGCTCTGCTGTACTGTACGTTACAAGTGGGTCACTGTATAATGGATGGTATTAAATTTGAATGCAATGATATAATATCATTGTATAAGAAAAACGATTCTGAGCGGAGACGGTATGTCAGTCTAGGTATAAGACATATTGTATACTTTTCTATGGTATTAAATTATATGGAATTTATAAATAAATTCCTTAAAATATGCACAGTCTTATCATGAGCATACTTCTTATTCCTTATACTATGGTAGATTGTATTCATAGGCCATAATATTTTGATTTTTCAGTTTCATATTATATCCCCGATTAATATTTTTAAATTACAACAATAAACCAAGATCGTTAATATTGATTTTAATATGTAATTTCGTCCAAATTTGAATTTAAAATGTCTGTAAAAAATAACTGTGTTCATATATTTTTTAGATTTTTTGGTTACAGTATGAACTATTTATGAGAACCTTTGTTTTAAATTTGCATATTATCTTTAGCTATAAAAACTGAACATTTTATAATTTATTAATTACAATGATTGATAATTTTCGAGATTTTGATAAATTTTGTCAAAGTTCGATGTTTAAATGCTTATAAAAAAAATTGTGCATATGTATTTTTAATATTTTTCAATTGCTACTGTAACAATATATCAGGAACCTTGTATTACATTTTTACACTTTTTGGCCCAACAGATAAAACTTTATTGATATTTATAGAAAAAAAAAAACTAAAAAAATTAAAAAATGAAAATTTCCGTAAACAGCTCAAAAAGAGTCGAAATATTTTCAAAATTGTACAGTGTATAGGAAATGCTAATTTGAACATTTAGTGAAATTTTAATGTATCTATAGTTATTCGTTTTTGAATTACAACAAAATCGCTACATGAGAAATCGAGTGAACATCCAATGTTGTAAAAATTTGAATTTCAAACGCTCATAAAAATTTAATTTGACTTTCCGGTAGAGATTTTTTTATTGATAAAGGTAGACAATCTTATAAGTAATATTGTATTAGATTTTCAAATCTTAGATTTAAAAAGAAAAATTTTTACGAATTCTTAACTCAAAATAATTTGCTAAGTTTCGTGATTTTTCCATATTTTGTCAATTTTTGAATTTTTGAATGCTTATAAAAAAAAACTGTGAATAACGATTTTTAATATTTTTCATCTGCCTTTGAAACAATATACTAGGAGCCTTCTATTAAATTTTCAAGTTTTTTTAACCAACAAATAAAATTTTATTGATATTTCTAGAAAAAAAACTAAAAGAAAATGAAAAATGAAAATTTCCCTAAACAGTTCAAAATAAATCAAAATATTTTGAAAATGTTATCGTGTATAGAAAATGCAAATATAAACAACCAGTGAAAATGTCATGTATCTACGGTCATTTGTTTTAAAGTTACACCAAAAACCAAATTCAATTTTCTGAAAAATCGATTTTGCATTAAAAATTCCCGTGTTTTTCCTTAATTTTTCTTTTGTTTCTTGGGCGCTTTTTGAAAAGTACTGGGTATTTTAAAAATTTGAACCTCCCCAATGCACCAACGATATTCACTTTCCAATCGAACTTACTGAAGTCGAAAATCGAAGCATATTTCGACTACTTATCGTGTACACAGACACAAAAAAAAAAAAAAAAAAATATAAAAACACACATCATTGTAAAATCAATAATTCATCGTTCCACTCAGAATCTAAAATTAATGAAATGAAATAGCATTATGTGTTAAATACTTAAATGGTATTATGATAACTCTCAATGGATAATCAGTATAATATAATAGTCGTCATATCACAATATTATTTTTGTATATAAAATCGTCGGGCTGATGGCGAATTGATATATATTTAGCACGGCCACACGGCCATTCAGTATAAGTACAACAACACCAACAACAAAACAGGTGGTTTCGGTTTCCCAGCATTTTTATGCTTATAAAACGTGTTATCAATATGATATGGTATAACCACAGATAAAATATAATACAACATATATCTGATTTATGATATAACTGATTATTTACTCGGCTGGGTGCACTCGACGTCTCGACCTCTGAATTTTATGCGGACGT